ACAAGTCAGATGGTATAGCCATGCCCATCAACCACCTGCTTGGTGGCAGCCTGACACCTGCTTAAGTGTTTGTAACACCTGTAACATCTCTGTAGCTGTTCTGGTTTGACTGGGAGGTGCAGAAGTGCCCGCTGGTGTTTCCAGGCTATGCCTGTCACCTGCTGCAGAGGCAAGATGTTTCATGGGTGATGGAAGACCAAAATTCCTGCTATCTTGCTGTGTGATAAGAGGGCCATAAAGGCGCCTCTCTTGCCAAAAGAGCCACCATCAGATCTCACTTTCATGCCTCATTAAATGAATCCATCAGCAGAGGCAAGGCAGTTTTGTAAATGTGGGTGCCTCGGCTGGACAGTTGTGCTTGAGGTTTGTCTGCAGAAAGTACGGTCAGGGTCCCTCCTGCCTCCTCCAGTCAAATGTCTCCCTGCGGAAGGAGGAATTTGGGGCCGGTGGGCAGGGGTCAAGACATGGCTTCACTGTTTTATAAGTACCAAAATGGGTAATAGTTAAATAACCTTACAAGTGTTCCCTGTTTAGGAAAGGGCCCTGTGCTGGCTCACAGGGTTGGTGGTACAGATGGCTCCATCATGATCTTTCAGGGACCCAGGCCTGACTTTGTTCAGATAGCCACCGCCTGTGGGCCTTGCCCTCCTGCCTCTATCCCACCTTTGTCCGGGTGTGTCTGCCATGTAACCACGCAGACCTGTGGTTCCTGCTTGTGTTCTGCTTCTCTGCCTCTGTGACAGCTAGCAGCGGCCCTTAAACAGTCACATATGTTACTGTGAATTAGGAACTAGACAAGCAAGAGGAAAGACAATGAGCCACATTCCTGTTTTGCTTTCCAGACTCAGCAGTGCTATAAAAGCTATGATGGGTCCCTGTGAATTTCTTTCTCATAGTGACTGGGGGTCCAGCATGGATAAGCAAGTAGCACGGCAGATACTTGCTGGACCTTTGGCTTGGGGACTCACAGGCTGAGAGAGGAGAGATGTGCTAGAGAGGCTGGACAGGCCTTTGCACCACAATGGGCTGTGATGTGCCTGTTGGCCTCACAAAGGGACCTGTCACCAGGATATCTACTGCCCACCTGGAAGGAGGGACATTTCAGATTTCCAGTCCAAGAAGCTCCTCTCACCCCTGGGGGTTGGGTAGTTCCCTACCTCACCCCACCATGTTGTGCAGTCCGCCTCACAAGCTTGCACTCTCTGCACGTGAGCAAGCCCAGCAGCACGTAGGTGTGCGTGACATGCACTTGGAGTCGTGCTACCCTCTGACGCCAGCAGGTGCCTCTAAATCCATGGATCAATCACCAAGCACCAGGCTCCTGGGATCAATAGCTGCTCTCCCTGGGCTGTGCCAGCCAGAGCTGTTTGCTCAGGGATTGCTCAGCGGCTGGATAGATCCACAGTGACAGTGAGGCTGGAGCTCGCTGCCTTTCTGCAGGTGGGAAGGCAGGTGGAAGGACAGAGCCAAGCTCTGTTTTGCCTCAGGGTCAGCGAGGAGGGAGAGACGCCCCCTCAGCATGGATGTGTACTTCATCTTTATGCTCCTGGAGGGCCTCTTGGCCGTAGCCATCATCTGCACCAACCTGCTGGTGTGTGCCACTCTCTGCCTTCACAAGGAGTTGCGCTGTGTCACCAACTACCTGCTCGGGTGCCTGGCAGTGGCTGACCTGGGGGTGGGGGCCCTGGCCGTCCCCTTCTCCATGGTGCTGGGCATGGAGTACACCTTGTGCTTCTACAGCTGCCTCTTCCTCACCTGCTTCCCCCTGGTCACCACCCAGTTCTCCATCCTCCTGCTGCTGCTCATCGCCGTCAATGCCCACTTGAAAATCAGGCTCCCCAACAGGCAAGTGCATGAGGTGTCCTGGGGGAGGGGGTTAACCCCATGTGGCAGGTGGCACTGAGGCTTCTCAACGATGGTCTGCAGTCCCACTGGGCAATGGCAAAGAAGATGGGCTTTGCTCCTGGAAGCAGCCAAGGATTAAGGGCTCAGCTTCATCCCGTTGGCAGTGCTGCCAGCCCTAAGGGTTTTCTGCCCTGTGGCAGCTTGGGTGGAAGTTTCTGCCTTGGTATCTACAGTGGGAGGGTCCTCACCCAGTCCCATAGGTACTAGGGTATCCTGGGACATTACAAGGTCCCTTCATTCAGGACCGGGGGGGGTCCACTCACATGCTGGGATGACAGCAGGGGGTGCTGGCCCATGTGACCTTGCTCTTTCGTTGACAGCTATGCCATATACGTGAAGAAAGGGCGGGTGCTGGTTATTGTGGGCTTCTGCTGGCTGTTCTCCATCCTGATTGGCCTCTCCCCTATGATGGGCTGGAACCGTCTGGAGCACTACAGGGAGGTTAACAAGACCATGGGCTTCAGCCTCCCCTTAGAGAGGGCTGCCTTCATCCTCATCAGCCGCGACTTGCCTTACAGCACCTTCCTCTCCAAGGTCCAGCCAGGCAATCACAGGGACTCCAACTCCAGTGAGACCCCAGACAGGCACCTGGGGCGCTGCTCCTTCACATCTGTCTTCTCACCTGAGTACCTGGTCTATTTTGTCTTCTTTGCATGTACCCTGCTGCCACTAGGCGCCATGCTGGGCATCTATGCTGACCTCTTCCGGGTGGTCCGTGGGCACTTCCTGGCCCAGCCACTCCGGGTGGCCAAGAAAGGGGAGCTGCAGATGGCAGGAACCCTCTTCCTCTTGGTCAGTGTTTTCTGTGTCTGCTGGATTCCACTGCATGTCATCTACAGCGTACGCCTGCTGTGCCCCCGCTGCCGGACCTATGAGTCATTGGAGCGCCTGGCTGTCATGCTCTCCCACCTGAACTCGCTGGCCAACCCACTGGTCTACACCATGAGGAAGAAGGACTTTGGCTTGGCACTTCGATCTGTCTTCCTCCGCTACATCCTGTGGTGGCCCCAGCTGCAGGCTTGCCACACCCCCAAGGCTAAGGTCTATCCCCAGGGGTGAATCAGGAGTTCTTCACAGAACTAGACCTGTAGGGACATTATGACCGAAGCAGCAGTAGATAAAAAGGACCAAGCTCATCAGCGTTCTTTATCCCCTTGCGATCATGAGACCCCTCATTGCACGCTTATTTCTTAGTGCACCAGAGGAGGAGCTCCCTGTTTCATTTGTAAGGCGAAGGGACTAGGAAATGCATCTTCTGACCCCCAAGCCATCTGTCGTCTGTCTTTAAACATTCAATAATTTCCCAGGTGGGGAATGGGCTTTCTTCTCCTCTCTATATGCGTTTGGCAGTATTGGCTGTGGTGCTGAGCATCTCACTGGATCAATCCTAATGTTATCATGCTGACATCATTGTTTTATGATATCGCACTTATCTCTAGCCACGGCTTCGAGATCTTTATTTGACTTCTCCCAGTTTGTGGGTTTGAGATATTGAGCCGCACCAGCCGAAATGAGAAGAGAGTTCATATGTGATAAGACTGAAGTGGGGAGATCACAGCTGCACACAAAGCAGATATTGAGTGGTAGCAGTGGGCAGAGGGGTATTGACGATGCAGCCGTAAAGTGGATAATGGGCACTGATGATTGTCAATAAAACTGCCGTTTAAATGTAAGCTTCAGCATGGTTTTGCATCTTTGAAGATCTATACAATAAAAAGGGTAAAGTGAATACTTTGTGTCCTGGGTGATGAATAAGCATTGGGAAAAGCAGGGAAGCAAAGCTGTGTTTTCTATGACCATGAGGCAGTGGGACAGGGCAGGGGGCAAGGAAACTGGGTACCTGGAAGCACTAGCTGGCCCAGCAGATAGAGAAGATGTAATGAGTTCACCTGCAGGTGACAGGTTCCAGTTTGAGTTCTGGCTGTTCCCACCTACCTGCTGCTTTCTGTCCCTCTGGTGCAATGGCACAGGGGGTCTCCCTTCCATCTGTTTTGGCCCTGTACGTCCATGATGTAGTTGGGGCTGGTCCCACCTTGAGCAGGGGGTTGGACTAGACTTCCAGCCCTCATTTTCTATGATTCTGTGATGTTGCAGCGAAGTGCTGTGGTGTCGCAATGAGAAGCAGCCTGCCTGGCAGTAGACCTAGGACAGTACAACCTATGACAGCATAGGAATCCCAGGAGGAGCTGCTGTGGTGACAGGTTAGCATTATGTGGGCACGTTTACACGAGGTGCTTACCGCGCATTAGCCTAATAACACTGCGCAATAGTGGAGTGGTCAAAAACCATGTTAATAGCCTACTGCGCCACATTACTAGGTTAACGCGCAATAAGTGTCACAAAATAACCATGTGCTGGCATTACTGTGCAGTAACTCTAGTTACTGCATATTTAGTCAGTACTTCATGAAGTAACTCTAGCTACTGCAAACGTAGTTAGTAGTTAAGTAACTCTAGTTACTGTGAATTCAGTTAGCTCTTGTTACCCTAAACGTATTTGGTACTTCGTGAAGTAACTCTAGTTACTGCCCATTCACTTAATACTTCATTAAGTCACTCTAGGTACTGTGAATTTAGTTGGTACTTTGCTAAGTAACTCTAGTTACCATGCATTCAGTTAGTACAGGGGCAGACAATTATTTTGGGTGGAGGGCCGCTTACTGAGTTTTGGCAAGCCATCGAGGGCCACATGACAAGCAGCCACGGGCAGATTAATATTGATTTTCTTAATTTTGGGGGGGCCCCGTGGGCCGGATAAAATGGCCTGGCAGGCTACATCTGGCCCCTGGGCCGCATTTTGCCCACCCCTGAGTTAGTATGTTATTAAACAAGTATTAGACTATGGTGCATTAATGAACATGTAGATGCCCACTGTGTGCAGAGCAGCGGCCAGAAACTTCCCCTCTCCAAGTCCAGCCGCTGTGACATCATAGCTAACCACCGTGACGTCACACCCAGGAAAGGGGAAAGGTCCGGTCCCTCTCGCTGACGCACTGCCGCCCCCCCGCGGCGAACAGGCGCTACTGCCGGCGCCATATTCCGCCCCTCCGGCGCCGCTTCCGCCCCACGCGCACGCACTTCCGCTCTGCAGCGCCCTCCTTCTTCCAGCCCGCGATTGGGCGGCAGGGGCTCTCGCGCGGCCCCATTGGCTGAGCCGCTGTCGCGGGGCAGGGAGCCCCTGTGTCGTGCGGGCGGGCGGCCCCGTGCGCTTCCTTTCCCTGCCCGGCAGCGCTAGCAGCGGCCGCAAGGTGAAAGCGAGCGGGCGG